ACAAAATCTAACATCATGATAGTTGAAAGTCACATATTTCTTACTACTTTTCAGTAATGTAATAACGTACTATGAACACTCAAGTAAAGCACAAAAAAACCCCTTGTTCCTATTTGTAAATGCCATTTTCTATTAGCTCCAGATACCTGAGGCACTGCATAGTTGGGGGGATTATTGCATTTCTCAGGTAGTTGCATCCACTTACAGCTTGGACTTGGGCCTCAGAAGCTTGCCTGAAGGCTCCATTAATTATCAGTAATGCAATTGCTTAATTATGCACTTTTCTTCCTCTCCGTGTCATGCCAAGCAGATATGAAAGGCTTAGAAAAGAATTTAGTGAAAAAGTGTTGATTAATGGGAAGTGTCAGGAAACTGAATAAAGCCTCCTTGAATAATGGAGTGTAGATGGAACCTGAAGTGAGGATGTGCATCTTCAGTGATCGGGGAAGATCTTTGTCTATGGACATGAAGGGTCAAGAGTCTTGTAAGATGGGCAGTCTTTAAGAAACAAAGCAGGAGGGCCCATCCTTCTCCCTCAGCACCAGCAAAAGGCTCTTTAAACCCACCATCGTGCTCAAGCATAAAGCAGGTCTACCCTTCAGCTGCAGGTGATTATTCACAATGGAAGAGATCATTTAAAAAGTATTTTGACATCATAATCTATTCTTGTGTGATTTTTCCTCATGCCCACGAAGCTCTTTGTGCTTCAGTGAGAAAAGCTGAAAGACCAGGAAGCAAGCCAGAGTTATAACTATATACAGAAAAAAAGAAACAGGAAATCCAAATACTTTTAAGTCATGAAACCTCCCAGTAGGATTTGCTGTCATCATCTCCTGTACCCCAGAGCAGGCTGGGGACCTGCTTTCTGCAGAGAAATGTTATTGATGATCTTTTCAGATCTTATCCTCTTCTCCTAATTAGAGAACTGAGACACATGGTCACCAGAAGAATAGCTACTGCTACTCCTGACATGTTTCCCTTCCATATTTAACATCAAGAATTTCTCAAATTGTTTTATATTCCCTCACTTCTGATAAAACTATTTCCAAGACAGCTAATGCTGTCACAGATTTAAGAGTAGATGAATCCAGTATAAGAAATTGTACCCTGCAGTCAGACCTCTTCCTGTTAGGTATTCTGGTCCCAGGCTTTACATTTAGGTTTGTCTCTAAAATATAGTTTTACTGCTAAGAAGGAAAGAGACTGCTAAAATGCATTGGAACAAGTTGAAAAAGACTTAGTTAAATGCAAATACGCATCCTGCACCATGGTGTTGAAGTCTAGGCTCAGGACTGGCACCACTAGCAGCTTTCGAGCCAGACACTCGTCATCATCTGGGAGTGATTGACTCTGGTAATCGCTGGCTGATCTCAATTGCCAGGAGGAGAGGTAGTCTAAGTGACTGCTATGTGCCTTGGCTAGCAGCTGGGACAACTGTTGCAAAGGGAGAGAAGCCACAGGCACTTTGAAGGGGAGGCTGATTCATTCTGGGGGTGTCCAGTTCAGTCCTGCACCACTCGGAGCAGCTGAAAGGCCTGTGCTATGTGTGGCAGAGACCATTGCTTGTGGTGACACGAGCTGAAAGGAAAGCACCTTTCCATTCCAGAGAAAAATGAAATCTCACCAGCCTTTTCAATCTCAAAATAAAATTTTTCCAGTCTCCTGGATTTACTTATTTTTTAAAAAACCAAAGGATTCTTGTATCTCTACACCACTTTGGGAACATGTTACATGCATTTTAGTGGCCCTTATTCTGCTAGGTAGTGCTAGGAGCCAAACTCTAAATAAGTGCTGAGCTCTTGGGGTATAGGAAAGGGCTTCTGTAAAAGGATTGTGCCAAGGATGGGCTCTAGCTTTCTTCTGGAAGCTTCCTCCTGGAAGCTTCCTCCATCTGGCTATCATGCTAAGGAAGATTCATGACTTCAGGTAGGTGTCTTCCATGCAGCCCAGGAAGGGCAGAGCACAGCTTCTAAGTGACATGTTTTAAACCTGTGTTTGTTTACTTTTAGTTCCATTCACTTATCCCATCTCCCTGTCCACTAGATATTTGGATGAGCTCTCCTGTGTTTTTTCTGTGACCAAACCCATTCCCATGACCCATTTTTAGCAGAGCTCTAGGTACAATTTTATTCAAGACCACTTGCGGTCATCTTAGGCGATGGCTGCACAGATCTGCTGGAGAGGCAAGGTACATGCTCCTGTCATAGCTCTCCCAGTCCTGCCAGACTCAGGTTCTTCGGACCTTGGCACAGTAGGTGCATAACCCAAAGGTTATGGCAATGTTTCAAACGTGGGACTTCTGCCTAACCCGTCTGTCTGCCAAGGATTTCAACTTTCTGACATGGGAGATGTTACTGGGTTGGGTTGAAGTAACAAAGAAAACAGTTATGCTACCAGCTATTTCAAATCCAAGGGTCGCTATGTTAGCTTAAGCTTTACATTCTGAGAATAAGCATTAGCTTGCAAAAGTAATCTTCTACCAGAAAAGCCAGAATCCTCGTGTGAAGCAATTAAGCTCTTTTCTTCCCAGATCGCTGGTACGCCAGTTATTCAGTTCTCATGCCACCACTTCTATCATGACTATTCATTTCCCTTCTACTGTCTGCTGTCTTTCCTAGCCCCTCGTCTCCCATTTTGCCTCTGGTCTCTGTTTCTCCATTACAGATATCTCATAGACTCTGGGGCTCTCCAGCTGATGTTTATTCACAGCTAGTCCCAGCACTCCTCTGCCTTGTTCTCAGTATCCATGGGAACATCCTCATTGTCCCGCCAGGCTCAGAACAGGGATTCAGTGTCCACCTTGGCTTTAGAGATTCACTCCTCATCTGCTGCATGACAGAATGCTCTGCCTTCCTACACGATGCAGAGATTGAGAATAGGCTTCTCTATGCTAATTCTGTATTCTTGTGTCCATCTTCTAAGTTGAGAAACTCTTCCTTTGCCAGGATCTGAAAAGACAAGAGCTTTTTTTTTTCCTCAACTTTTGGCTGGCAGAAGTAAAGCCACTGAAGGCAGTTTCCCAGCCACTGTGTGAACTGCCCCACTAGCTGGCCATGCTCATCTGTATGCTTCCTCCTCACCACAGCACCATGTCCCCACCCTGGGATGTTGTGGGAGATGCCCAAGGGCAAATACTGATGCTTTCTCTGGCAAGACTGGAGCAATGGTGTGAACTATTACTGTGCAGCCCCAGTAAGTGGTGTTCCCTAAGCTGAGTCTGAGGAAAGACTTGAGCTGTAATGGGGACCATTTTCCTCTTCATACACTTAGAAAGCTGAATGAAGGAGGGGCATGCCTGAAGATCTTGTCCCTCCAGGCACCACAACTGTTTATTAACTCAGCACAGATACCAAGTCCTGGTCCAAGGAAGATGATTGATCCTTCCTGAGGACGTGCACCTGCCTCTAGGGTACTTTCTACACGACAAGTCCAGCAGAATGGAGCAGCTCAAGCATTCCAAGATTTGTATTCACTTACTGTTTCTCAGCAGGGGGTTACCGTTTGCCTCACCCCCCACTGTCACCAAGAAGGTCCATCAATCAGCTGCCCAGGGATAGTGCAGCCCTCCCCATACTCATTATGCATCCTGCTGCTGGAGGAAAGAACCACCTTTGGTGCCAAGTACATTAGGAAACATGCCTGAGTTTAAAAGTACTCCATGGGAGGGAATCACAACATTTCCAAAGCCTGGCCTCTTGCATCACAAAAGCAGAGCACGCTCCTCACCATGTCTCAGGCGATAACAAAAGGCCAAGGCCAACAAACAAAGTGAACAGCTTTAAAACAACGAAACTGTGCTGGGTTTTGTATACAGTGTTTTTTGCCACAATCTGGCCCAGAGTCACAATCTCGGATTTCCCTGCCAGGATGATGGAAATACAAATAAGGGCTATAAACCCAAAGCATTTCCAGCTCATACATCCAAAGGATAGAAATTACAGTCTCTTAGCAAGGAAAATGTTCAAGGGTAGTGAGGTAATGGGACCTGGTTACAGAGCTCATTTCTTTGAAAAACTTTAATACAGTATGGAAATTTTTCCAATGTCCTTGATGCAACATTTGTAATGTATAAAATAATCCCCTGTTTCAGTGGAAAAGACCCTTCCATACCTTCAAGAATCAACCGCTGAGCTCCATTTTGGGAACAGTTTCTTTCCAGCTGCTGTTTCCAGAGATTCCTGAATGGTTCTGAAGACACAGCGTCAGCAAGGAATGAAATCTGACTGTTTGAAAAATAATCTGTCGCCTCTTGGCTTACCTAGAAAGGGCCTCACTTTTCTGTGCACATGCTGAGAGCTGCTGCTGCTGAAGCATAGGAGTCTCAGCTCCAGTCTTGCTAAATAATATTCTGGGAGTCCATGCCATGAGTCACAGCACTGGATGAGGGGCTCTGCTCATTTGATTAATTACATTACCATGTCTGCCCTTTATTTGTTGACTCATAGCCATGAGAGCCTGGGATGTGCTGCCTATGTAGTAAACTGATTAAAGGGGGAACGTATGTCAATGTAGGGATGTGCGCGATAGCTTATTGAAATCCCTCATGATCTTCCCACCCACTGGGCATTGCTTCAATATCGAGTTCAATCGTCAGGAAACAAACTTGCTCCCTCATCTGCGTCGCACATTGCAACGAGCTTGCCAAATACGGACAAGCTTTTAGAAAGAAAAGAGAATCCCCCCACCAGTGAATTTATGACCCTTGGCTCTGCTTGTGGCTTGTTCCTGTGCATGCCTGAGTGACATGGAAACTGCAGCAAAGCTGTCTGGCTTGTTTCTACACTCTCACACTTGCAGATACGCTGGATTTTTCCTTTTTTCTAATGACTAGGGGGGGTTGTTTGGTTTGTTACCTTCTAATGCAAGCAACCCATGACGAGAGACTCAGAGAACCACAGGGGTTAATGAAAGAAAGGGCAAGGATGCACAAGAAACAAGGAGAAGCTAAAAGTGTTGCTGAGAGTTTGAAAGTCAAACATCACTCCTCTCATCTGTTCCAGGTCCTTCAAGCCAGATTTTGTCCTGATCCGGCAGCACGCCTACAGCATGGCACTGGGAGAGGACTTCCGCAGCCTCATCATCGGCCTCCAGTACGGTGGCATCCACACAGTCAACTCCCTCTACTCCATCTACAACTTCTGCAGCAAGCCTTGGGTGGTAAGTGGCGATTCAGCTCTACTGCGTGCCAACACTGCAAAGCAGGTATCTGGTACCAATAAAGCACCAAACTCAGCTTCCACTCTGTTTTATAGGAATTAATCTCTTCAGGTTAAAACCAACCTAAACACCCTTAGGAATCTAGCTGGGAATTCTTAGGGGGAGAAAAACATCAGCAGTGCTTCTTTATCAACCTCTAGTAATATCAGGGTGATATTTCTTCACCTTGAGTAGGACATTTCATCTCTCCCAAACTCTAGTGTGTCATAAACAGCTAGCAGTACAGTAACACTTGGATTTCTTGTAAGGCATAGTAAATGAACAGCAATAGATTAATAATAACAGTTCAATGGTAGCATATCTCTGTCTTGACCAAAACCACAGTAGAGATACCTTAAAGGAAACATTAGTATTCACTGGTTTAGAAAGTATCTGAACTATGCTATTTCTAGCATCTTTTGTTTGCTACACACTTGTGGTAGCCATGTGCCCCAGGCTAAGATTAAAATTCTCCAGTCTTTGAAGAAGTGTAACCTGCACATGTCTTCTCTTCCTACTTTTTCTGGGTGGTGCTTTGCTGTGAGGAAATTAGCTGAAAAGAGAGGGAAGAAAGGAAAAGAGATGGGTTCTTCAACAAATAGGTCCAGGAAAAAAATCAAAACAGAATGACAAAGACTTTGGAAAGAAGCAGAAGAAAAGGGGGAAACTTGAGTTTTTCAGCAATTTCAGAAGGAAATGGAAGGTTACTAAGTGTTGGTTCATTGATCCTGAAAGACTGCACCTTGGAAACACCTTGGGCTGAGTGAGCTCCTGGGGAGAACCCAACATTTTGCACTGGAAGCCTTCACCTGTTCCTTAAATTTTGTCAAGTACACCTAAAAATCCCAGAAGACCTTAGAACATATCATCATTGTTCTGTCTCAGCCCTGACTCAAAGTCTGTAAAAATTCCCCAGACCTCTTTTATGGCCAGCTCTAAGTCAAACCGCAGGAGCAGGAGAGCTGGAGGAGTAAGGCTGGTCACCATGAGCCACAGGAACACAGTTGGCTATTGTAGCACCTGCAGGAAGAAGTCAGATGCTGATTACACTTTGGAGTCCAAATCTGGATCTTCCAAGAAGCTTCATCCCAAACTGCCCTCTCTGATCACTGGTGATCTCAGAACGGAAGTTTCCCTGCATTGTTCTACGTAGGAAGCAGGAAACTACAAGCTATCTGGATGTCACAAGGAGATGGGACTTTCCAGTATGCCCCCCATGGAAAACTTTTAGATAAATCTTCAGGAATTCCTCTTACTCATTGCATAAATTTAGCTTGGGGTGAGATGGAATGCTTATAGTAAGTGGTAACTATCTTCCTCATTACCTAATTAAGTCTTTTTTTGTTGTTGTTTATTCCTTGGAATAAATATCCTGTTAGTCTTCAGTGTGTTGACTGGTAGTTCAAATTCAAGGCCTGTAATGTCTCAGACTTTTATTTCCATGACCACGCAACATTGGATTTTACTCATTTCTTACCAAATAGATGCCAGTGTAATAGACATGGTCTTCTCTATTTTGATCCCTTTTATGACATTTGGGGCTTTTGTGGAGACCAAAAGCAAGCTCCTGCCTTTTCAAAAATGCTGCAGTGCACTAATGAGAGTAGCGAGAAAAATCTCACTTTTCCATCACTGTTTAGGTGGATGACGTACGTTTGGCCTCAGTCCTCATTTGAATGTTGAGGGCTGCTGAGAATAGAAAGGGGAGGAAGAAGGGATCAAGTATCAGGCTCAGCAAAACACCTTTGTATTGTTTCCTACAACTGGTCCTACATACGTGAGTATGTTGACCCTGGTGACCAGACAGAAAGCCTCTGCATTTACACTGGCTCTTGCTGAGGAAGAGGGTCATGTGGTCTGTTCCATCTGATTTGGTGGTTGAGTCAAGGTTTAGTTGATATTTTTCAGCTCATGCCTTGTAATTATGTTTATGATTGTGCACAGGGACCTCAAGATGTGACAGACTTATTTTTAGGAATCTAAAATAAAAGAAAACAAACTCAGCACATAGGGAAAAAAAAAAAAAAAAGAAAAAGCAGGGCTGGCAAGGCAGTGTGGGAGAAGTTGGCTCTGCCAGTAACTTGGCTTAAGCTATTCTGGGTCCGTTTGTGCCATACTTCCCTCACAGAGAATACAGCTGGCTCAGACAACCTTCCCAGAGGACTCAAGGAAACCACTTGTAAACACTTAAAGCAGATTTGAAGAATGCCTCTTTTCCCTTCTGCCCCTCCACACACATGATGCCTCAAATCAATGATCAAATCTCAGGTGAGACCTGAGCTGGTATTTGGCATCACTGAAATTTTATCGGGTTGAAGCTCAAGTAGAGGTTGCACTGGGGCACTTGACGGCAGAAAGCTTCACTGGCAGCAGATTCAGAAAATTCGGATTTTTATGATAGCTGGAAAGAGAGATAGGGACAGACTACTTTGGTGCACGTTCCAGTCTGATTGCAAAACAGGCATCTTGAAATAAGGGAACTGCTTAGCAAAGATCACTGGGAACTTTTTGGACCTCAAAACAGTTGAAATAAATGAAGAAATGAAATTAAATACCCTTGGGAAATGTGCTTCTCTCTCTCACTTTTTTCACCCCCCAAAAAATGGCCCCATTTCATAGAAATGTTTATGATTTTGTGGAGGGGAATGGAAGTGAGACTGTTTTTCCTTGGCAATTTGCAACAACGTTTTTTCTCAGCAGCTCTAATTACAATCAGCTGAGTTTGAGCTTGAGTTTACTCAAACATGCAGCCCCATTTTTTAAGTGACATTTGCCAGGTTTCCAGTACTGCAATACACAAATTTCTTCAAAGGTTAAAATCTGCATTAAACATGGGCACAGTTTGAAATAGGCATTTCTGAAAGAGAAACAGACGTATTCAGGGGGATCTCACACACAGAGAAACATCTAAGAAACCCGAATTTTAAGACGATCCCGAAATTATTGAGAAATAATGCTACAAACGCACTTAACACAATGCTTCAACCACTAAAAATAATTTTTTTGTTATAAAATTAACAATTCAAAATGCAGTGGGGACAATGCTCAGAGCAATGTTCATGTTACATGCAGTAACGTCCGTAACTGTGAGGCAACTTTTGTGAGACTGCAGGAAATACAAAGTCTTGAAGACAGTTACCTACAGAGTCCAAGAGACTTCCAGACAAACTGTTACTGACTGTCAAGGGATATAGGCTCCCTGACAACCTAGGCACTTTAAATATAAGAAAAAGGCCTTGAGACCCTCTGAATGGGTCTTTTTTATTTCTTTGTATGGTTCCCCTGCAAGTAACTCTGGTGTCTAACCAGTCGGGCAAGGCATCTCACTTAAAACCCGGGCTGTGCCATGTTGCCTTGCCCTGTAGCCTGCTTTGCTGGCTAGATACAATCTCACTAAAACCAGTGGAACCACGGGAATTAAGAACTGATAAGAAAATGTGGAAGGGACAGATATATCTAGCTGAACTGCTGTCAGAACATTCCTACACACCTAAAATGCAGTGGGAGGAGCTACTTGAGTAACATGGGTGTCTTTTTGCCAATATACCATCTCTAACAACTGGAACAAAAAAAAAGGGGAAAAAAAAAAGGAGATAATTGTCTCATGAGGGTCAATACCAAAATCAGACCTTTTTGCAGGCTTGGCCCATCGAAGAGGCTTCCAGATGACTGAGTCTCTCATCTGCCCATGTGACACACGTGGTATTTCAGCAAGAGCCAAGAGCTGTGTGCTTCAAAAGGAAGCCCAAGGAAAAAGTCAGGACACTGACAGCTGCGCAGTTGTTCCAGTTACTTTGTTTGAGCTGTTTTCCTAGGATAAATGTATGTCACTTCAATGTCATGGTCTCCATGGTTCATCAGGACTGCGTACACACACAGCAAGGGGCATATGCTGCTCTCAGCCAGGGTGTTTTTCCTCTCCTCCCTGTCTCTGTCTCATTCTGTTTAACTTTTAAGCGCTGTTTGCTCACATTGCTAGTCAAAACAGGGCTTTATTTTTCGTCTCTGCGATGTGCAGTGCTAGTGCAAGTAGTTAAGAGAAGCAAGCTGTCCTCCTTCCCCAACATCAATATGCTCCTTGCCAACAATAATTAATTATTCTACATGAGTAGTTTTTCTCTTATCTGCCGATGCATGTGAGGGGTGGTAGTGGTGGTGTTAGTGATGGAATGTGCCACCTCTAGATGTTTTCTGGGTTTTCTTAAATGTCACATTTTGACCTATGAGATTAGAAAAAGGATTCCTTGCATTTGTCCGCAAATCTGCTGGCAGCCACCCCTTCAGCATGTGGTTTAGGTCTGGCACACACCTTGCAGCCCAATTTTTTTGCTGGCTGTATTTTTTTTTTACACTCATACCACCCTTTAACTCCCAAAGAGGTATTTCTTCTCCATAGCGAGGTGAAGTTTCAATGTCTTATATAGGAAATACTTTTGCTTAAATTGGCCCAGAAACCAGGACAGGAGCGCTAACATAGATAATCAGCAGAATAAATTCTCAGTACCTCTCTCTAACCTTGGGGTTGTGATTTGGTGCATTTACTGTCTTCAGCCATTGCTCAAAAGTGCTCAGAACACGAAAGATTACACAGATTCTTACCAATGGAACAACCCCAATCATTTTACTCTCTTAACATCCATGACAATAATCAAGCTACCTTATTCAGCTTTACTGCCCCTTCTTCAAGGCTGCCAGCCTAACCACTTCACCAACAGCACTGATAGTTGGACATTGTCCGTGGTGATGGGGCTGGGCCTCTTCAGAAAGAGAACAGAACCCCTAGATGTGTGATTGTAAAGAATCTGAGTTGCTCCTGAGAGCTGGAAGGTTTCTGGGATATATATCATAGAATCATAGAATGGTTTGAGTTGGAAGGGACCTTAAAGATCGAGTTTCAACCCACTGCCATGGGCAGGGGCATGTTCCACTAGAATAGGTTGCTCAAAGCCCCACCCAGCCTGGCCTTGAACACTTTCAGGGAGGGGGCTTCTGCCTCTTCTCTGGGCAACTTGCTCTAGTGCCTCACCGTCCTCACAGAAAGGAACTTCTCCCTAATATATATGTATCTCACCTCTTACTCTCTTCGGTAAACCAGCCCTGTTTTAACAACATTTTCTGTCATGTCTATTAAGTTTCTCTCTTACAGTTTTGTGTTTTTCTCCAGCTGATCAATGATAGATTATACAGGGAGGATGCAGGCAATGTACAGAACATTCTGCTTGCTTCACAGATAGCTGTGTGATGCTTCTGTTAGGATTTTGGAACCTGAACTGACACAAAAGTCAGTCTTACCACAGAGAGCTTTGTGTCTAGCACAATCTGAATGCTAAACAGTTTCTAACAGTGGTGATAATGGTGAAGCTCATGCTGACAGGTGGGAACAATGACAAATGTTCACCCTTGTACATGACATACCAACACTGCTGCTTTCCCCGTTTATGTTGCATGCTGCGTTCTCTAGATACCATCCTCAGAGACTGAGGTCTCCCTCAGACCTCACTGGCAGATGGGGAAGGGGAGGATCTCCCCTTCCTCCTACCATGCATGGGAGGCTGTTTGGAGACCCTTGATTCATAGTAAATGTCAGTTATGATTGATGGTGGGCTCATGCTTCTTTGGTCTAACACTCAAACCAGGGAGCACTGGAAATTCCCTCTGTCACCTCTGTGCCTTTACAATTCTCCTTCCCTTCAGCACAATGGATAAATGTGCTTTGGTTTGATTTGACTGTGGGGCAGAGATCCAAGGGAGAGTTTTGATTTATCTTGTCTCAGGAGTGGTGACACTGATATCCTGCCTGGTCTCTCCTCTGAGCCCTCTCCTCAGCCACATTTGAAAAGCAAAGCTTGCTCATAGCAGATATGTAACTAAACCCATGCTCATCCCCTTTTGCCTCTTGAACCCTCTCTCTGCTCTCTTAGTCCAAGGTTCACGTACACAGGCTGACTTGCGGGTGGGTAAATACAGCAACTTTGTATTTCCCTGCAGCTCTGGGGTCAAGAAAGCAAGGTGAGAAAGGCAAAATAACATGTTTCTCTCACCTCCTTCAAGTTATTAGAACATTTTGCAAGCACTTATCTATTACACACTAAGCCACTGACATACGCTGTGTCTGTTTTTTGTTCCCTCTCCCTCACCCCAAGTTCTCTCAGCTCATTAAAATCTTCAACTCGCTGGGTCCTGAGAAGTTCCCCCTTGTGGAGCAAACGTTCTTCCCAAGCCATAAGCAGATGGTGAGTACCTTTGCTTTCTTCTGATGCCAGCATGGATGGGGGAGAAGCCACGAACGTGAGCTGGGCATGAGAGATGGTGGGCATACTGGGAAGAATCTCAGTTTTACTTACAGAGAATTACTAGTCAAAAAGCAATATGCAAAAAAGCACTGCCAGGAATCTTTTTCCTTTCTTGCCCAGCCCTCCCCCAGGTCACATATGGACCCTGACAAAGCAAACAATGAGAACAGGCTCAAAATCAAAGCAAAAATCCACTGTAAAGTCTAGTCCTCCTGACAGCAACAAAACACTCAGTGCCCTGTGTGGCTGCCAGGCCCTGTACCAAAATCTTAGGGCCATTTACAGAGATCTGTGTAGATGCCTTTAGTCGTGGCAAAGCTGGTGGCTTTGTTTAAAACTGTTCATGTCTCTTGTTTTCCCGGGGTTAAAAGGATGACTAGTCCTTCATGAATTTTTGCTCCCAACTTACATCCATGAATTCGTGGCTCTTCTCGCCGGGCTGAGGGTTTGATGAGACCCTCTATGAATTGTGACCCATTTTGTGTGACACTGGCTGGCCGAGCTTATTTCCCCACGCTTGTGAACTTGAGCAGCACTGGCAGCCTGAAGGTTAGTCTTGTTGAGACAACAAACTAGGGCTTAAAAACATTCAAACCCCTCTTTTCTCACACACTTGATGCAACACTGTGGGCCAACCACAATGGGTAGCGGGGTGCAGGTACCTGATGGTGGATATAAGCATCTACCAGGAGCTTCAAAATTCAAAATGAAGTCTCATTTAGATTCTTGTGAAAAATTCCACTGGTGTTCACTAGGTACCTGAATCCCTTGAAATGCCAGTCCTTCATCTCTCTGTTTCAATACTCTGTTCTCTGCCTGTGCTGTGCGGACAAAAGCACTTCACAGGCATCTCATGAAGGTAAGTACAGTCATGACTGCTGCAAAGCACTGAAGTGGTAAGAGTTGTATTGTCATTTAAGACCTAAAGAAACAGATGGTTCTTAAACACTATGTGACAGTCTGTTGCAGACTTTTAAGACAAATTAGTTGATTAATCCTGTTGCATTTAACTCCTGCTGATTTATAATGAGAGTTTTGTGATGTGTAATGCTTCAGGACAGCTTCAGGCCAGACTTTGTCTCACCATCACTTCTGGAATGGTATTTTTGGAAGATTTGATTAAGGTTTTCATTGCAAATACATTAGTTAGCACTTTTAGCATTACTTTCTCTTCTGGTAATCTGAATCTTGATTCCTCAGCATGTAAATGCATTTGTTACCAGCATAGTAGATTGGTTTAAGAGCGCACTGATCTTAATTTCACTGATCAGTTATAAATATATCTTTATAACTGATCACCTACTTGCTTACTTCCAGAGAACACAGGAACATTTTTAAACTGTAGATTATCTCCTCTGAACACAAACACTATTGTTGATATGCAAGCTTGAGTAATCTGGTTTAAATCAGTCACCTCCCAAACATTTACACAAAAAACAATCCACTTGGGCAAATTCAGGTCAGCCTTTCCAGGTGGGGAGTCCACCTTATGGAATGAATCTATGTAACTTCTTAAGCTCTTTTCTGGGTGCATCTTCACAGTATCCTGGGCAGTGCGAGGCTGAGAGGGCAAATGCCAAGCAAACTCCTTTGCAGTTATCACTCAATCAAGTACCTGTGAATGTTGCTTACCCACTGCATGTCAGCTTCTCCATGTGTCAGATGAGAATATAATGATCTCCCCTGCCCCCTCTCTTTCTTCCCTTTCCTAGAGGCATTTTCAAACTGTACCAGTTAGCACTCATAAAACACACTGTGGTCCTTTGATGGCTGACCCCCTGGAAGTGTTTATAACTAGTGCCATGGGTTTACCTCTTTGCAACGTGATATACTTCAAGCAATTCTGTTCTCACGAAAGAGAGCCTCATCCTTCTATATTCAAATCTTTCCAAAGCTTGCTGTCTAAACCTCTGAGTTAAACACAGAACAGGTTTTAAAAATCTGTTTCATACTTTCATCCATGTAGAGATTTTGCTGAAGTGAGATAAGGGAAATTTCTAACAGCAGGCTCACCTTTGTGAGCTTCCTTCTGACAATAGAGCACTTTTCACCAAGCTTAAACAGTAAAATTAGAGAGAGAGCGCACAAGGCTCTGGCACTTCAGAGCAGAAAAAGATCCAAAAGATGAATCTCTCTTCCCTTTGCGACCGGCACGTACCTTTCAACCCTCCTTCCCCGGGTGATCCGTTTACTCGGAATACGAGCAACTTGACGACTGGTCTTCTAAGGCCTTACTGGTGCTACCACAGCCATAATGACTGCCTTGCTCTGCAGTGACCCCCGATGGCCAGCTGACAAGTGGGATACATGAACTTCAAAAGGGATTTTTCACCTCTCCTTGGCTTATGACCCCGGTAACAATTCTTAGAGCAATCAACCTCCTTAAAAAGAGGGAAGGATCTTTGCTAAAGTGCAGGAATTGCCAGAGGTGGAATATCTGCTTTGAGCCCAATAAAACAGTATCAGGAAAGGGAAGGAAATGAATAAATCCACTTTGCAAATGCATTTGTGTACATCTGAAGTGGGCAGAAACTACTAATATAAGTAAAGCAGAGACAGAGTGTCTGTGATACAAATAAAACCACTTTACTGTTTAGAATAAAAGGACACTATAAAAAGTGAACATTATGTAACATTACCTTAAAAGACAATATACATTCACTGAATATAAAATTTATAAATAACATGGAGGAAAACTGTAAACAGTGCTAGAAAATTTAGCAACAAATACATTCCTTCTGGACAAGATTTTTCACACGGGTTTGGTTCCCTCCTCAAGTTTCCATGACTATCAGGAACAGCAGAGTGGCTCTATGCTATGAAAGAAGGACAGTATCAGAGAGAAGGAGAAGCCAGGCAAAGCAGGAGCAAAAGTTTAGTGGACTTTTAAAATTTTTCTCAAGACTGGTAGTCCCAAAAGCCACTTATTCTAAAAATCGACAAAAAAATTTTGCAGTTGCCCACATTTTGTTCTGCTTTTCTAAGCTATAAAACACTTTATACGTGAGACAGACTTTCAGAGACATCTGAAAGAATGGAAACTTTTTCCCATGGAGGCTTTTACTTCGGTCTTTACTGTAAAAAACACAACAGTATGTTTCCCATCACCGTGAGGCAGCATTTCACTGTGGCCAAGTATGAATGAGATATGGTGATATATTTAGTTTTTAGAATATTCCTACTTAAAGGGCCAAGTAACTCTTCAAAACACGGGAAATTTAGACTTAAAATGGCAGTCTTGTCCTATACAGGGGAGGCGGAAGCCTCCCGCAAGAGAACTTTATTCGGAGTACTCCATGCACAGATCTCCTCCTGCTCTCTACCCCCTTCAGTTTGGAAAAGGAAAATAAAATCCAATTCTTTCCAATTTTTCAATCTATTTTTTCTATTTCTGAAGGGGAAAACATTCTCAAGCAAAAAACGTTGTTTAAGCTGGAGAAAAGAAGGCTCAGGGGAAACCGTATCGCCCTCTACAGCTACCTAGAAGGAGGCTGTAGCAAGGTGGGGGTTGGTTTCCTTTCCCAAGTAACAAGTGATAGGACAAGAGGAAATGGCCTCAAGCTGCGCCAGGGGAGGTTTAGATTGGATATTAGAAAAAATTTCTGCACAGAAAAGGCTGTCAAGCATTGGATCAGGCTGTCCAGGGAAGTGGTTGAATCACCATCCCTGGAGGTATTTAAAAGATGTGTAGATGTGGTGCGTATGGACATGGTTTAGTGGTGGACCTGGCACTGCTACGTTAACGATTGGGCACTGTCTTAAAGGTCTTTTCCAACCTAAATGATTCTATGGAAAAATATCTATAAATAAGAAAGTTAACAGCAACAGCCTAGAAACGAGCTATGCGCTTTAAAAAGTTCTTCGAATAATGTTGCTATATCTAAAGCATGATGGGGGTGGAAGCTGTCATCCTGCACACGTCGAAAGGCTGTGCTCACATGAGCTGTGCCATTGACACTTCCTCCACCCTTAGGTTACGGGGTGAAGTGAGGGGCATGTCAGAGGTGACAGGAAGATTTCTGTGCTGCTGCAAACCATTGTACGCTCCACAGCCTAACATTTTAGTGAGAACTTCACACCTGCCTCCTCACATCTCCGTGCCTGATGTTCCCACATACTGCATGGGCTGCTGTAATGAGCGAGAGAGTTTTGTCCACGGGCAGGCAGAAGCGACTTAGCAAGGCAGAAGAAAGGAGAGCAGATAGAAAGGGAGAGAAGTCTTTCAGCCTGATTTACAGCCTGTTCAATCCATTTAATGGGTCCCTCTCAATTCAAGGGAGCCTTCAGTCAGGTTCTTAATGTAAGCACAAGCTAAAGCTTAGCCCAAGAAATACATGTCCCTGATAGCATGTACAGAAACAAAATTAAGAAGCCTCCCAAAAGAAATGTATTTTTACTGGATTCTTCCCCCTCCTTTTGGCTCCACATTTTTAAAAGCCTTAACAACTGTTTCTTTACACAGCAAGGGGAAAGATTTGCTACCAAACCCCCACCCTTGTCAGTCTAGCTGTCTGCATCTCAGAAATATTTTACCGTCTGCAGTATAAAATGGGAATACGCTTCACTTTCTGGTAATGCATCTGCTGTTTTGTTGTTTACAAAGCATATAGCTACATTATATCCTACTTAGGGACAAAAGTCCTCATAGTATTAGAATGCAAATATTTTCACAATAATTTGAGTGCAATACTGTGATGTCTCAGCTACCTAAATGAATCAGTGACAGGTAAAATACGCAGAGCTGCAATTTAATGAAAATTCAAATCAACACTTCACTGCATCGAGGGGCATTTTCATTTAGCCTTCCAAAGCCATGAAAAACAGCTGCGGCTCAAAGAGACGTCAGCTTTACAACATCGCTTTGAGCTCAAGGAGGGCCATCTCCAGCGATGCCGACTCCACTCGATGCAAACAAGTGAGGGTGGCGAGGCTGGCTCCACTCTGCCCTCAGTGACGCCCAGGGATTTCGTCAGCTGTGCCCAATACAGATTGCTCCACTGTGCCCAAAGCCCAACCCTGTACTTTGCCAAGAGGGGCAACATTCTGACCCACCCCCCATACTATGACGGGTGCTGTAAAGCACTCTGCTCTCCCTCTCATCTCCAACCTGTAATTTAGGAGTAGTCAAAGGGAAGAGGATTTGGGAGAGTGTTCCAAGCCTGAATCACAGGAAAATCCAATAGACTTGCAATGTGTTTTGTGCTGCATTGCCACTCAGAGCAGCTGAATAAAAAGAATACACAGCAGACTTAGGCACCTCTTACACCAAATCTTTCAAAATGCCCTTTAAAGTTCACGTTTAAAATGAAGCCACGCATGTTTTGCTGCAACAATTAATCTAGTACATGAGGCATTTCAGGGGATGTATGTCTGGCAGAGCTCTGGTAGCATGCAAGAAATGTAAAAATGCATCAGGTACCACCTCAGACACCCTTTCCTTCCCATTTGGCAAAGAGGGCCCAAACAACTCTCCAGTAATTGAGGTCACTGACTGTAAAATGCTTTATTGCCCCGAGTTGGAATCACTGCAACACTTTTTTCCTGCTGGTGGCAGCTCTGCTTTCTAAGTGGAATGAACTGAAGATATATGGAAACTTAAGATAAATAATCATAATAATACAAAAATGAAGTTAAGCATAATCTTCTCCCTGCCCAAGCCCTCCCCATCCAAAACTCAGTCACCCATTTTGTCAGCACCCCTTCTTTACCACCATTAAAACTTAAAATATTTTTATTTGATAAGAAAAATTATATTATAGTTTTCTTAATAAAAAACAAAATAGAACGAAAAAAACTTCTCCAGTCAACAGCAAAGCACAAGACAGTAAGGCTCCCCCTCCCACATCACTGCAGGACGTGGTATGAGCACATGCCCAGAGCTACGCTTTACAGTGCCTACAGGGAAACACAGCACTTGACACAGAAGGAATCCTCTGGGCAGCTGAAATTTTACGATCCCAGCCAGCACTTATTAGGAGACCACTTTTTGTTGCCTAGCCCTCCCCAACTTCCTTTCGCTATATAAACAAATGCAGCCAGTGTAGCTGCAGGGGAGGAACCCTGCTGCAAGAAGGTTCAGAGGAAACGATGACTGTAGCCACTACGGCACATACACTGGAGCTTCACTATCTTAAAAACAACCCACTGTCTCGGAATGTCAATATTTCTGTCTTTAAAACACAAACAAACCATTCTTTTGTTTATAACACCAAAAAAAAAATCCATATCCTGTCAAAAATAGCTTATGTCATTATGTGTATATACATCTTAGTTCAGCAAAACACTATTTTGGCAATAATTTTTTTTTTTTATAATAAGAGCTCTAGCAAGTCTCCCCTTTCCCTCTTCTGTGTGATTGATTTACAGTTGGCATTTTTGCATCTATTTGGTTTAAGGTGTTTACAAGCTGGTTTTGCTGTTGTAGCTAAACTGCAAAAATTTCAGGGGCCAATGCTGCTCAAAACAGGATGGCACAGCACTTCATCTGTCTGCTGTAGGTGGATTTACTTCCCTGAACATAGGGGATGGGGCTTTTGTTTTTTAAACAACAACAAAAACACAAAATACTCTCTCTTTAGTTCTGGCGAAAGTCAGAACTTCAAATGTGCTGTTGTAGGACAATCAGTCAACAATGCTTCTACCAGATTATGTGGTCAGACACACCAGGTGAATTCTCCTGATCCTGGAGTAAATCACACTGCCAATCACTCCCACAGAGGAGGATTTCTCTCGGGTGTAATTTTTTCTACAGTATAGGCTGAGTTTCTTTTCAGTTTGTTTCATTTTCCAATCTGATTAATGAAACCTGTTTTCCTTCAGATAGAATTGCCTACATACTTTCAGCACTTAGTGCATGAGGAGGGGTGACAGGAAGCCAGCGCATAGAAGAATACAGTGCCTACTTGGCACAGTTTTTAGATTTTTGTTTTCCTAAAAAAATAGAGATTATATTGCTACAGCTAATGATACATGTAAGAGAGCAAGAGCTCTACTTTTTTTCTTTTTTTTTTTCTTTTTTTTTTCCTCCCATTTTTCCCTCTGGTGTGCAAAAGTAAGCTCCCAAATGTCATCTGATCAAAATGAGTGGTATCAAAATATGGAAAAGGTGATTACAAATTCAGTAAGGTAGCACAGACTTTTTTTCTTTTCTTTCCTTTTTTTTTTCCTTTTCTTTTTTTAAGTGTTCGAAGTGCTAAAATTTGCATGAAAACAGGCACTAATTTCATTGTCATCGTCATGATCTGGTAAGAGTTAGTGTCCAAAGGAAGATCAGCCACAAGTAAGGGAGAGGGGAGGTAAGGAAGGGGTAGCGTGCTCAGGGATCTGTGGCATTGATTATCGTTTTATCTGGAGGCGCCCATCCTCTGTACCAGCTGCAGTAACCTTCCACCCTCTGGATGCAGGCGTAGTGCTTCGCTTGGTATCCCGAGTGACCGAAGTTGGAGAGCATGTCTGTCCAAATGCACTCATTCTTGGAGGTGGCAAAGCAGGGCAAATAGTAGCAGGGCCTAATCTGCAATTGTAAAGAGCAATCAGGTAAGGCTACATGGAAAAACAACATTATACAATATGCCTTTTTACCAGAGACAAGGGATTCAAATTTCCAGTCCCTCAAACCTTGTTTACTAACCCAAAATTCAGCCTCAGCTCAGTAAACACATAAGCATGTGTTTAGCTTCACAAGCACAGGTAATTCCAGAGTCAAAAAGGCTTTTCAGGTACAGGAAAGCTGAGCTTGTGTCTATGCTTTTGCAGGCCTGGGGCCACGAGCAAAAATCTTAGTGCCAGTGCCAGGCTGTGAGGTTTGAAGCACTCAAAATGTTTACACATGGAAAAAGCTGGACATACCTTGCCAAGCTTCTGCTACCTGATTTTGTTCACTAATGATTCTGCATGGATTCTGAAAGACTTCCCCAACCCAAATTAACTCTAACAGGGCATTAAAAAGACATAGACTCTGCATTTTTATTCGATTATTTCCTCTCTGATCTCAACACTAAAGCTGAGCTTTACTCCTTTCCTCTGAAAATTGTCCTCTGTTTCTCTTCCTGGCTGTTCACTAGCATCACCGGTATTACCAGCCATGAAAAACAGAATTCCAAGATTTCAGTGTCTTACCACTATCTAATTAGAGGTGCACATACCTTGCATCCACAGCCCAGATGATAACGATGATTCAGTCCCTTACGCTGGGATAAAGTCAGCCGGTCCCACTTCTCATACCAGTTGCACAGGCCAGTGTAAACCTTCCCTTCATACACACGGCCTTGAAAACAGAGACACGGGGACAAGTTAGCACTTCTCAGCTCAAACGCTTTTCTTGTTTCCTGAGATTGCTAATGCTCTCAATATGTTTGGCTTCAGTCACTGTTCAGCAACTGCTTTCTTTTTATTAACTGGTTCAGGAATCTCTGGCCGGCAAGATTACAACGTTTGTGTAAGTTAGGAGCGTTGTGCCAGCTGTAAGCACTAGCGCCAACAGGCAGGTGAGCAATGCTGTGAAGCTCCTCTCAACAAGAGAGCAAAGGGAATTAACACCTTGACTACAAACAAGACTTGGCAACTGCCACATCTCTATCTCCCTGCATCCCCCTGTTTCAGCAGCCTGCATTTCTCCAGCTCATTACAAAAGGGATCTTCCATTTCTGGCATAGCCAAGTAATAACCAGTTCCCAGTGACAGATACGTCAGCTCAGGTATGAATTGACAGCTGTGGACTGTCATACAGCATGTTTGTCACAACATTACTGGGTATAAGAGATACTTTAGGAAAGAGACAGAAAACTAGAAAATGGTTATTACTCTCAAGTGTTAAAGAATACTGAACACCAGAATACTATTGGCCGTCTTAACACTTGGGAAGCTGCGTATAGCACTGTCTACACAGCTGCCCATGTCCTTAGCAGATGTATGTATAGAAGAGAAGAGATTTTGATTATGAAGAAGTACACTGTCCTTTACCTGTGATCAGATACTGGTATTTGTTGACCTCCAGCTTGACTCCACAAAGACTCTCAGAGGCTTCTGTGTAGATGTACTGAACATGTGGCATTATTTGGAAGCCCCTGTACATCTAGAGAAAGAACAAAAATGCATTAAGTCACCTTAAGATGACAACTTTTTACTCATTTAAGTTCTTTACAATCTACATTCCTAGACTGTGGTGGTAAGCAGTGAACTTTTAGTGTTTACAAGCGTGAAGGACTAATAGCACTAGCTGAACTCTGATGGAAGTCTCCCCACCAGATCTGCTGGTAAAGCAGAATGACCCACCTGCTAACAAGCCATTGCAATTCAGCACAGGGACCACTTTTCCCCACTCGCATTAGTTCCAGTGGCACTGAGTGAGAAAAGTGCCAGCACCGCAAGCTCTGCCAATATCCTGAACATTTTTTTCCCTTACACAGCTCATAATTAGGGAAAAATTAAATTAGTTCAAGTATGGACTCTTTCTCCTTCATGTGATCTAAACGATTTCTTCTGAACTAAGGGAATTTTCTTTTAAACAATGACTCTATTTTCCAGCGTTGCTGCTGTAAGAGTTTCAGACCTTTGGCGCTTGATCTAAGTCATCAAGCCAGACACCTCCTTCTTAAACGCCTAGCATACGCAACTCCTGCTGACCTCAGCAAGGATTTAATGTTTCTCTAACTAAATGAATGCAAAAATAGAATTTTACCCCACCCTCTAAAATTAGCCCAGTACAGTCATAAAGAAAATATCATGTATATATAATTCCTCTACACTCCTCCTTTTTCAGTATCTTTCTTACAGTTCAGTTGAGTTGAAATGTGAACCCACAGATTTACTGGCAGTTGGATTCAGTCAGAAATTAGCATGTGTCCCTGTCTGACCTGACCTTACTGCTGCAATTCAGGGAAACTCATGCCCACCTGTCAGTAGCATAATGAAGTTTGTGCAATGAAACAACCACTGCATGTATACACTGGACCAAATAAAACATCCTAATTTTGAAACATTGAGGACGATTTTCCTGAAAATTTCATCCTTAAAATTTGGTTATCTTTTCAAAGCATTCTGTCTTTCTTTCTTCCCCACCAACTGTATGAAAGGCCAATGTTTAAAAGTTAGAGGAAAACAAGAAGACTCACAGAGAATTACAGTTTCACAGCATTTCCCAGCCTATCCTCTCCTCTGTCAGCTTTATTGATAGAGAACACATTCACATTCAGTTTAACTATAAATATTGAAGTGAGGCAAAAGAGGAAAAGAAGTATCAAACAATCCCAGAGCTATAGATCCTTGCTGCTGTGTCACCTAAACCGTAGTATTCTCCTCCAGGCTGCATTCTATTTCCTGAAGTCCCCTACTATCCACGGGTATTTCACTATTCCCTCACTCCCTTTAAAAATAACAAACCTTTTTCTTTCTGAGATAATATCTGTTGATTTAACAAATTTTATGCTAGGCTCAGATACTGCATATATATTTAAAAAACCCTACTAATAATTCTGCTATGCTGAGAGGTCAAACTGTCTTCTGGGCATCCACAGAATGTCTGCCAGGTTTTTTATCTACTTAGTTATATTACCCCAATCAGCATAATCTTATATCAGTATCTCAACTCAGTAACAGCACTGCTGTATACAGTAAAAGATACACTAAAACATTTGCATTTTCCAGGCTTCCTTCTGCACCCAGCAAATATGCAACCAAAGTGGGTTTTTTTAATTAATCATGCTGTATCAAAAAAAGCTCACAGACCATATTTGTGTCTGTAATTGAGCAATGTCTTTCAGTGAATATGGAAGAACTAAACTTTGCCCAATCTCTACTTTATCCCTGCAATTTTCTTGGTATAGGATCATCTACTCAGATTTTCCAACCACGATCAAGATAGCTGGAGATCTAGGTTCTGCCACAAGCATCGTATCTGTCCTTGGATGAGTTATTTACCCCTCAGTACACTTGTGTTCCTCATCTGTAGAACAGTTCTGCTTTGCTTCCCAAAGGTACTGTGAGGAAAGGCACACAGGTCACGTGTCTGGACCCCATTCCAGTGAGTGTCACACCAAGAAGCTATGATAACAGTATCTAAGTAGATAAGACTAGCTAAGATAACAGCCAGGGCTGCCCAGTCTCCCCAGGCAGTGCGTTATCTACACTGCAGAGAGCTGTACGCAGTGCATGTGCAGTACAAGTGACCCGTCACTCAGAGTACTAAGCTCTACTAGCCCAACTAGTGTTGGGCTAATTAAGTATCTGTGTTATGAAGCCTGCATGTGCCCAGGCACACTTTGAGCCCATTCTCCCCCTTGCAGAAAGGGCTATAAGCTAGACGAATCATTTCTCTGAGAAGCTGCTCAGGCTCTTCCTACAGGACCATTACGGTCGTAACTCCTCGCATCTTTTGTGCCATCAAGTTCAACATGACTGCCTGTGAAGTAACTGGTGATGCTAAACTGGGGTTCAGTTTTCAACTCCTGGACCTAATTTCCTGTTCACACTGCCATCAGGGACACCACTGTCAGTGTTGCTGATGGAAACATGCTCAGCTTCTAAAAAAGCACTTCAGCTCACCCCCCCCAGAGACCCTCTTTGATGCTAGCAACTGTCACACTAATTGACCCAGCGGTGGGGCAGACCGAGTCATCTTCTGATGACTAAAGAAAATTCACCATGACCTTGGTTCATGCATTAAGAAAAAGAAAATTTGGTCCTCTACATATGTCCTCTTTCAAAAGAAATAAAACAATACCTTAAGTGTTATTTTTGGATACACAAAATATCCTGGAAGTGCTTATAGACCAGTAAGAAGAAAACCAACCATAAAGCTAGCCCCTCTCTTAACTGCTACCCTCGGAGTCCTCCTGTCACCACAAATGCATATTTTCAGAAGCATAATGACAGGGAACAAAGTATTAGCAAGCGTCACGTGGTGGTGTCTACCAGTGCCACTCTATTTCCAGCTGTGTCAGCACTCCCCTTAGCAGCCCCTGTATTGCCTATGAAATGCACATACAAATCCTGTTGTGGTTCCTGCTGCATGATTAACTTCACCCTGTGATGCAATGGTCTTCCCTCTGTCCCTCCCATGTGAGGTTGTACTAGATACCAAGGCTTGGAGTCATCTTGCCTAACCTTCAGCTACCTAAAATTTTGGAGCTGTATACGAATGAAGCACCCTCTCTAGTCAAATGTCAAGAATGGGCAGCTCCAGAACACCTCAGTCCATCCTAAAATAGCTATCTACAACTGGTGGACTGAATTACACTTTGGTGGTTCCTGCCTCTCTCCATTCACAATCAAGAGAGCAGGAAAGACTCAACACCTCATTTCAGACTGTCTAAAATTAAACTAAATTAATCCCACTGCACTTCTTCCCTCTTGGGACTATCACGTTTCACCCTTTAGACTCATTTTACAGATTAGCAACAAACCAAGGAAAGCTTCCTTGTCTCTGGCAGCCTCTGCAGAGCGCTGCCATGGTCAACCAGGACTGTTTGTGCACATGGAGTAGAAATATCTTATCTCCTTGTTTCCTTCGCAGTTTCCTAAAATAGGTTCAGGCCATTATCAGAATGTACTGCATCATCACAGAACATGTGCAGAGGTTAGATCAGTCCTGCACACATTTCTAATATGTGGTCTTGAAATATTCTTCAATTATTTGAGAAAGTAATGCGGGGAGGCACAAGGCCTTTTCAGACAACAAGGCTGAACACTAGAGAGCCTGGCACTGTTCTGTGCCTGTGGCCTGACCTCGTGCTCCAGCCCAGGCCCCAAGCTGGCTCAGTTGTGAAATTCAGCAATGAGTTCAGGAGTGCAAGAATCAGCCACAGCAAACTCCAAGGAACCCAGGAAAGAAATACAAAGATTGTTTGTTGCCTTTTAAGGCTCTCAATGCTTTTCACAGGCAATTCAGTACACACTGATAGACTAAATGGTTTGTTTATTTTTTATCTGCAGGTGCAGACGGGTTTATAGGTGGCCAAAAAAACACTGACATGGTACTTTTATCTTCAGACTTGTTCCCATGCAGCTGTGCGGAGTTATAGGCCTCCTTAGTTTTCTTTTCAGCAGGCGGACAGTCAGCTTTCATTGGGGCAAGCAAGGCAGAGATTTGCTGCACCATTCTGAGCTCCCCCACTGCATGGAGCTGAATCCCTCTTTATACTAAGTCTCTAAAGCTAAGTAGAAAGACAGCAGGGTTTAAAAAAACAAACAACACTTGGTTTGTTTGTTTATTAAGAAGTATGTCCTCCGGACATTCCAGCTCTACTGAGCACTTTGACTGCTTCAGGTTCCTTACTGCCAAAGGTCACAGTTAAATGTGCAATGCAGCATCTCACCAGCCCACCACCGATGTAGCAGGCATATAGAGGCAGTCTGACCAACAGACGACTTCCACTTTAAAATTACTCCTGCTTTTGTTGGACACCCAGCTTCCTAACAAAACACTGTGAAACTGCTCCTGCAAAAACGCAATTGCTCCTTCGTGCTCTCGGTACGTGGACATTGCAGATTATCATCTGCCATAAACACCCTTGTCCTGTGCTGCAGAATAACCTAATGAAAACAGCCAGGACAGGCTCAGGTGTCTTATTTAAAGATTGATATGATGGTGTCTATTGACAGTCGGGTGGCTGCTTCTCCACTCAACATGCTCATCTTGCCTGGGCTTCTGCTCCTGCCATGCCAGCAGACTCACAGAAGCCTTTTCTACTCCTAGCAAGGACACTGCTCCAGGCTCCCATGTCAGAGGAGGAAGGCTTAAGGCTGCTCCAGAGACCTCTGACACTGCACCTCACTGACTGACTATGGGGCAGGCTGCACCACTAGCTAGAAAAGAGGCTAGTGTTGTGGCTGGTAAAGAGTAGTAATTCATTTGGGGGACTACTGTTATTCTAAATCCTCAGTGGATCCTGCTCATGATGGTACATTAGGAAGCACCAAACTCTTGGAACAGAGTAGCAGAGGAAGCAGGAGTCCTTGACAGAATGGCATGAAATCAGAAAAAAAAAAAATCGATGAAGTCACTGCAGCACATGTACGTTGTGTAGTTTTGTGAAGTGGGGTTCGCAACGGGACAAGTATACTTGCACACAGTGCTGCAAGCCTGATGAGGATAGGGACAAACATCTAAATTTAAGAACAAAACAAGTGACAGCATTGTCTCACAGTTGCCAACATAACCAGGTGCCTTCTTTACAAAAACAAGTCAATCAACAAATACATATTTCCTTTTGAATCTTAAAAAGGAATTTTTAAGATTAAGGAAATTAGTAAGCCCAGCACCTAATGCACTTACTCAAAGTGCAAGCATTCTACTCTAGTGGAAGAGCCATGCCAGGAACAGATTTGGCTACGTGTGTGGTTTTGCGACAGCTTATGAAACAGGCTTTGAGTCTCCTCCTCCCAGCTTTGGTGCTTAGCTATAAAATGCCTTATAAAGAGAGTTACTGTTACGAGGCAGGCAAGTGACTGTTTTTTTCTGAACCTTTACTTTGTCTAATATGTTTCAGATTTCTGCAGTCTCCGCCAAGCTTTTCCATTCCTTTTTTTTTTTTCTTCTTTTTTAAAGACATAAACCAGTCTTATGACTGGAATGCCATAGCCAAGAAAAACAATCTAGGGCTGATTTTTAGCATTACATAACAAGGGTTCAGTTTAAGAAAAAAAAGCTGAGCCCAAAGCAGCAGGTTGAGTGCAGTTTGTGCAGCAAAGAATTAGATCTCTGAAGAGACGAACTAGAGAACCCAAGCAAGTGGTGTAGGAGATTTACCTCTTCTCATCTTCAAGTCCATACATTACAGCACTTCTGAGCTGATGATACTTGAAAGTTAAAGTGTTTGGTTTATCTTTACATAGAGACTTCACTATACAAATTTCATTTGTTCTGTACATCAGAAAAAATGCCATCAGTCTAACTGGTGGTCACAAAGAATGCAAGGAACGAAAAGATGAAAGGTCACTCTCCCCAGGCTGGCAGATCCCTTACTCGCACCACATCTTGAGTTTAATCAAAGTGCTGCAAGGAAAAGCTTTCACTTCCACAGTCTAACATCGCATATGTTGAACACAAGCAGGACTCTAGTAACTAGAGAAGCCCATCAGACATTTTTACTACCAGAAACAGTAAAAATAAAGGAAAAATTCAGGTATTCAGCACTGTGTGTCAGGAATGACCTCTTCCTGCTCCTCTCCCCTCTCCAGCCTAATTTCTACCACCTACTGGTTACCTTCCATTCTGGCTGACACATACAAAAAATTGAGGTGCTGTTATTTTAAGTGTGCAAACTCTTTGTTATTACATGTTAATTAAATTCTTTATCATCTCTACAAGCCTATGTGAAATGTCTGCAAACATACCTTCATCTGCTTGACTGTGTATCGCATCGTTCCAAATGGTCCATCTTTCATGAGCTTCTTACCCACAACTTTAGCTCGGATCACTGTCATAAGAGAGGAAAAATACAACAAATTATAAACAGCTTTATACAACATCTAGGCTAGACCCTCCACTTCAAAAAAGCCACACAGATAAATTGTTCTGTAAAATAAAACAGAACTCCAGTCCAACCTTCCTCTCAATTTATACTAAATCTCACACACAACGAAGGCATGTAAAATGGGATGCCAAAGCAAGTATTTATTTAAAGGAAATACAGTTCTGCGTGAAGAACAAGAACAAGCATTATTTATGTTGAAATCTCACTGAAATCTGCAAAGCAGACTATAGCTGGGACCAAGACAGATTAAAATATTTGCACCAAGCCACTAGGATGAAGTTCATATTTAATATCTTAACTCTCAATGTATAGAATGACGTCCAGCAAGATACTACTTTCAAATTGTTCTGAGGGTGTGCAATGCAGCTTCTCTTCCTCAATAACCACAAAAATACAGCACACTGGAATATCCACTATCTGTGGATTTCACTACAGCTGCCACCTTTCAGATACCACCAGGCTTACTCAGCTAAAGCCCATTCTGCCAGAACAATCACATCACATTATACAAGCACCAGAAGTGGCTTAATTTGTACACAGGCTGCAGAAACTGAGATTGGAGAAAAACAGTCCTGGGAAGAATAAAGTTCAGTTAGAAAACCCCATATCATAAACATCACTCATCCAAACAACAGGACAAAAAAACAAATCAAACCAACCAACCAAACAAAAAAAACAACCAAGGAACTCCAAATTCCATCAATCAAAAGAAACATCAAATGTATAGTTATACATAAACCCACAGGAACCCCTTTTTTCATGGAAAAGGAGATATCAGCGACTTTTGCGTAAAGCTTGCATCTGTACCCCACCGCAAACAACGCACCTCTGTGTCATAGGTGGCCCAATGTCTCCAGACTACTGAAATCCAGCAACTAAATCGGACAACATACATCATTTCCTCTCAAGACTATGAAGGTCCTGATCGGAACTCCCTGCACAGGACAGAGTTGCTTGCTTTGACACCAATCTTTTGCAGCATTTCATCAGTGTTTTGTTGAAGGTATCAGATTAATCCATCACAGAAAACGATTCATTAAAAAGCAGAAAGGCATGGAAGGGAGACAAAGAGGTGGAGGTACTCCTTTGCAAGCAGAAAAATACACTGAGTTATTATTTACAATACAACACTATCTAAACACAGTAATAAAGTTCAGGGGCACATTTTGCTAGGTATATAGAACATTAAACAAGCACCTTATTGCTTCTTTGCTCATTTAAGTTTAAAAGAACTGTAGAACCCCACTGGAAGAAATAGGAAAAAGAGAAGGATAAGTTTTTGTTCACTACCTAGGCTAAATTAATGAGGCAAAAAAGCTTGTCCCATCTAAATAATCTGAAGAACAGATTTGAAGGAAGAGATAGGTCTGGTTATACACACAAGCTCCTGGAACTTGTTCCATGAGCATGGTGTGGAATGAAGACAAACTCATTCTGCTCTGATTTATATCCTGTGCTTCAGTCAGACTTGTCAAATAAATTTTCAACTAGGTAAGACAGTCCTGCTGGCTTTGATTCAAAGGACCAACAAAACCTTCATTCATTCAGTGTAAAACTTCATTATTTCTTTTTTTTTTCCCCACAAACTTCTATTATCCAATGGCAGTAAAAGCCAGTACAATTTTACTGATTCTTCTATTTAACAAGTTGTTCAGACTTTTGATTTACTCTCCTCTTCAAAATTTAGTAGCTACATTGAAGCATGTCCTTGAGAACTGCAAATATCTTAAAAGAACTAGGTTCTTCCATTTGTTGCCCCCAGCCACCCCAACCATCAGTGAAGCTACAAAAAACAGACTGCCTGGGGACAATTTTCTTTAAGGCTTTGTGAGTTCCAGAGCACTTCACTAATGCTGGAGACTATGGAAAAGGGTGTCAAAAGTCTTATCTTCATCTGTTGCGTATCTGATACACTAAATTTGAAAAACCTGGTGTTTGCCGCACACTTCTAAAACCAACAATGAAATCTTATATCTTATCAACAATGATAAGCTATATACTAAAAGGCAATATTGCAAAACACCAGGATTTCCAAACCAGAACACAGTTAGCATAAAAGATGACAGGCACATTCCTAATTGCTGACAAAATACCTAAACCCCCATTTTCTTCAAGTACTTCACTGCTAACTTGGCAGCCCTTTAAATACCAGTTAGAGTAGCACAGTTACTTCAGAAAGAAACCAACTTTGATTTATGGACTAGCCAACAGCTTCACCACCGGACCAAAGATTCAAAACATGCATCTACACCAGCACATAACAGCATCCCAATTTCAACTAATGCTACCTTTGCGAGCAGGTAGAAGGATCTGTATTTTCATATTATTGTTCCCCAGTAAAGTTAGAGAAGAACAACCAACCTAGTAAATTCATCTAGCAAATAAACCACAAAAAACCTTAGTGTGGCTCATCACTTTAAGCCTTTTGTAAATGGGTCAAGCCCTCTGTAGCTCAGATGCTGCCTTTATCACCCAAATAGGGATTTTTCTACATAAGTTCCTTCCCTCTCTGAAAAGCTAGGAACAAAGAACCCATCCTGCCTCATTTTTTCCGTATTAAAGGCAAAGTCAAGCTGTTAAGCAAGGAGCAGAAAATACTCCGATTTAAGCCTACCCCCTGTACTTTGTGAGGCCAAATTCACACCCGCTGAGGATTAGATGCATCTGGGTAACTGGAGAGAAATGCCTGACGGACAGGACTGCTCAGAGGTTGCTCTTGTGCATCCAACTCCACCACCCTAAGCCTCCTTGCATGAGAGCCACTTGTAAATCCGCCCAGAACAGAGCTCCAAGCTGCACATCTGCAGCCACGTTTCCCAGTTCCTATCTTTGCTCCTTCAAACCGCCGCTCACCAGTTAAATCGCTGGACCACTCTTTGCACCTGGGTCAGAAAACAAAGAATATGTTTCCTAACTGAGCGGGTGCCATGCATACTTGCCAGAGGAATTTTTTGCCCTCTGCAAATTATCGGAAATTTATATTTCTCCTGCAAATTTGGTCCGTGCTATGTTAACGAAGTCAACTGTTTATTTCTGAGGACTCCTACTCCGTGAGCAGAATGAGGCAAAAGGTGCTGTGACTGCTTCCCTGAACTCCTTTCTTCTCCCTGAAGCTCTATTACAGTCCTTCTATTACTGCTGAGAAACTTTATCCCACACAAGTGGTCACCAAAATAGCTGCATATTTTAAAGCCACAATTTCTTTGAAGTACTGCCTATGAAAATACTCCGAGATGAATGTTTCTCAGTACTTTGGGGTTTCAGGTCGGGTCACTTTGTGGGACTGAGGCAGTTGGCAAGGTCTCATGAGTGATTTGTAATTATTTATGAAAAGTTAAATTAGATGAGGATATAAATCTTGATAAGATAAGCATGGCAGCCGTGCCATGATTCAAAGAGGAGGAAACATATGCGCTGCTTCTCAAGATTTGACATGATTTAAAAGATGAGGGAGAGAACAGAGAGAAAGAAAACCGGATATTTAGTTGATATTCTAAAAAAAAAGTAATTAAAATAACAACCTGCTGTGTTTGAGGGTTCAAGAAATACATCTAACAATGTATCACAAAAGGTTAATATATTTATTTCTCTTCCCTTCCCTTTTTTTTCTTTTTTCAATGTAAACTAGCTTATTGCTTAGGAAAACAGAGATGGCTCTGATTTGACATAAGTATAGAGCATACAGCACCTTGTATTTCATTGGCATGTGCATGTATACACATAAAAAACCACATCTTTTCCAAATGTCACTCATTGAGGTTTTATAAAGGCAAACAAATCAGAACGGGCACGGCAGAAAAAGGCTCTATATGTACTTTTTATTTGCCCAAATATCTAATACTATCAAATATCTAATACTATCAAGTACTCTATCCCTTACCCTGTGGCCATTTTCTTAAGGATTCATAGGAAAAATAGGCCTAAAGGTAAGATATGAAGCAGAAGAGGACACTGTCTTTACAGCTGAGATAGGAGAAGGCCTTCTGAATTTCATGAGGGAAGGAGCAGACAAACAGAAAATGACCAACGTGAGGGAAGCAGACGTGAAATTAAGACAAGCATTTGCCAAGCTGAGGAATCACCATGGTGAAAAGACTTGTAATGACCAAATCATTTCATCCAGGAATACTCTAGCTACTACATGGGTACCAGCACTTCTACCCAACTGAAAAGCGAAGGCATCAACTGCCTTTGATCATCCCAGCCCGAGTCCTTCATCGGGACCAGCCACTAGATGGCGACACTTGAACAAAACTCGCTTTCCCTTTACCAGAGGGCAGACGCGAACAGCAGGTATGCCAGTTTCATGCCCAACTACACCATGAGAACCAGATGCTTTCACGCAAGTGGGCTGGTTGTCATCCATAAACAGCATTTTAAGTGGAGGCACACACCCTTGAGAGACCAGGATTTGCTCCAAACCCGCTTCCCTTGTGACCAGTTACCATGAATGGCTCAAGAGAGCAACAAATGCTACGCTTCTCATTATTGTTTCGAGGATTTAGTTTATTGGTGTGCAGTATGAGTATTTTTAAGTGAGAGGTTTGGCTGGCATGCCTGCTCATTGCATTTAAGCAAGTGAAGGATGTGGAGGATTCATGTTGTTTACTAATGGAGACACAGGGGACAAGTTATTCTCCTAGTACATTCTTTCACATCCAAAAAGTGGCGAAATAAAATAATACGGGGAGCAGTCATGTGTCCAGGAGGCTCAAGAAAGGCTCCTTCTATCCTGAGGCCACTGACTACACTAGGAACTGGACAGCAAAAACAACCCCCAACAGAACAGTACACTTGGAAATTGTGCCTTAACACTAGACACAGGCCATACCAAGGAGGATGGTTGCCATTTTATCCATCCAAAGACTATACAAGGGCTCACTTCCAAGAGCAATTTACTGAGAACTTTTTACCAACTTTACTAGCAGCTCTCTCATTCAACTGGTCTCA